AGTGGTCGAACCGTCCACTCGGATAAGATTGATAGGAGCGAAGCCTTGGGGAAATACCGTAAGTGTGGAGCTCTTCTGCATTAGGGCTTTCTTCCATTAGGTGTTTTTCTCACCTATCTTCTACATTTCAGGATTGGTTGGTTTCTAACGAACATGGCATCATGATCGTTGCTCCAGATACACTAGTACCGTGCACAAGTATAGCTGGTGCGACATGGTGTCCTCGTAAAGTTTGTTGTCGTTTTGCTTTTCATGCGCTGTCGCTTGAAATTTTACTAAAGTCAGGTTATCCTCAGTGACCGTTTTCGTGGTCCTACGGAAGCCAACAAAGCCATGCTTATCGGAACTATTGTGCATGAGTTATTCCAGGTGCGTCGTACTTTGTCCAGATGTATATTTATTTTGGCATTCTTGTTCCTTGTAGACTATTTGTTGAACCCAGTACGCCAAAAGCCCAAGAGGGTAGAAACAAAATGAATCGTCTGAGCGCAGGATTTGCTCTCTTGGAGGACCGGGAGGGCTTGGTTTCTGCCAATATTTTCGATCATAGTTGCATTGTGTGTTTTCCGAAGGTACCACTGAAATATTGTAAAGCTGGTACATCGAGTCCATGCAAACTCACAAGACTCCAAACGGATGCTAACATAGATAAAGGTAGTTGTCGAATGTTAGGTCTGTTGTGAGTTTCTTTTGCTAGGTTTTGGTGGCCCACTTCACACTCACTCAAAGAATTGCTATCGCCTACTCGCCTTTTCTCAATCTTGTTGACCCCTTTCTCCCCTTTCTTCTTTATCATCTACGACATCCATGGAAACCTGCTAACTTCAATAGACAGTAGCTGTAATTGCCCATAGTATATTTAATTTGTATTGCATGGTTGTGGTTGAACGTTTCTAAAAGATGACCCCAGTGATCGCGCTGTTACCTTCCCTTTTATTTATGTCTTGCTGCATAATAGAAAAAGGAAGAGCATAGTCTTTTCAGGCAGCTGTTCGCTGTCCGATACCTCGAATGGTTTCTCGCGAATGGTTACTGCACATATGGCAAAAAACTATACGAGACGAAATCATTGCTCAGCTAGTGGCTCTCCGATTTACACCTTCTCAGTTCGAAACTGAACTCGAGCCCTACCTTGAAGTTGGTTATTTGTTCTAGTGTTCCGATTCTGTGATGCTTCACTCTACTTAAGGTTATTGTGGACTGGGTACAGCACAACATGCCTCAAGGGAAGTCTTATAAAGGTTTATCCGAAAATTCTTTAACAAAGGTAAGGCGTTGTCATGAAGGAGCACTGTAAATTCCTCTTTTTCTTTTTCGAAAGTTCCGAATTTATAGGTGCATGATATAGAAGAAAATATATGGCTACCACAGCTGGGTCTTAAGGGCAAAATAGACGCTACCCTAGAGGTTGGATTCCTTCCAACTCTGAAAATGTTGAATGCTGGGTGGGATTCTGTGTGTCAGGTTAAATGTGGAGAAAGGACCCGGAAGCAGTCTCTTGAGCTGAAAACTGGCAAAAGTGGACAATCTTCTGAGCATGCCGCACAGGTGATTTCAATTGTATTAGCTTAAGCTTTTATGCTCTCATAACTTCTCAGAATTCTCCGATTTAGGTAATGCTCTATTCATTAATGCTGTCGTCTCGCTACAAGCAACCTATTGGTGAGGGTTCTTTGCTATACCTTAAGGACGGAATCACACGACGTGTACAACCGCGTGCCCTGGAAATGAAGGGTATCATCAATCAACGAAATCACTTGGCTTCATATCTCTCCAAGCTGAGGCCTGATTTACTACCTGGTCGGTTATTCGTTCAGTGTCCTCACTTCCATTTGATACACACAACTTGGGTCTTCCATTATTCATGCAGGGCTCTATAATTATGATATTTATAGTGCCAAAAGATGATCCGAAGTTCTGCGAGAGATGTGATCATGCTTTAGTGTGTTCTTTTTACCAGGTACGACAACTGACCATTTGACAAAGGCAAACACTGCATACACTTGACTTCCCTTCCGTTAATGCTTTCTATGAACTTTTTAAGACTGTGAAACTGTCAAAAAATGTTAATTCTTGCTTCTATAATATAATAGTATGCACTTCTTGGTGCTAATGATATTCGGAAATTCCTCCTTTTTCTGACTTCTATTCTTTCTCAGATACTAGAAAATACTATGGTACTATCATAAGCAT